CACCAGCTTCTTATTTGAATTTGACCGTTTCATCTTAAAAGGTGCAGCAGTTACATTTTGTTGCCTCAGCCTATTCGCCAGCTTCTTGATCAAATTTTTCTGTTCTACTTTAAATGTTGCAGTAGTTACTTGAGTTGCCAGTATGCAACTGCTGCAACATATAAGGTGGACTGGAAAAATCTGAACAAAATTTTGCGAATATGAAGTTAACATCAGCCTTGTCTGCCTTGATAACACAGCTGCACATGGACCACAGGAAAAGGGCAGTGGGTGGGATCACAGGCCAAAACACAAACAGCCTTTCACTCCAGAACAAAAATTTTAAAGGAGGGCATACTGGCAGTATGTCAACTGAGCATGCTTCCTTAATCTCTGATGACATAATTTTATGTCTTAGTACAGTAAATATATTATTTATTATTCCTTTAACAATGTGCTGCATATTATGAGAACCACTGGAGAAGTGGGTAATACTGCTGCCCTCTACTTGGCAGGCTGGGGTGTGATTCCCCACCTGGGCAAGCACACAGCACCCCACCAATAAGGGTACTTGAGCAAGACTCTTAATGCTACATGATAAAATTGTAAGCCACTTTAGATAAGCGTAAATGTAAAAGCGTGCGGTTCGTACAGTGCTGGTTGATCTGGCCACCACATGTTAACTACATTAGCCTCATAGTACTAGTACAAAACTAAAGACACATTTCAGCCACCAAATATGTCTTGGCTGATCTACTACTTTTGCCTTAAGGCATGTATTGTTGCTTTTTTTCATACTCCTTGTGAGCTGTTGCAGAAGCACTTATCACACAGCATGCAGAGCCTACGGGGAGCCCAAAGGTCTTGACTGCAGGACCTTTTCAGAAGTAATAGCTGCTTTTTTGAAGCCTGGCCTCTCATAATTTTGCAGGCCTTACAGAGGCCCTTGTCTCCATGATTACATAAAATTCATTCATCTCCAGGCAAACCAGCTGAAACACTGCAAGTAGCTGGCTCGATTAGGAAACACTTCAGTGGTGCCCTTTCCCTGATCCGCTTTTAATATCTCTGATAGTCTAACATGCGGATGTTTCACACTTGACAGTCCTCGGCAGCTGTTTGTACAGCACCGTGTCATAAACACTTCCCCTAATCTCTAAACTCAAATCCACACATTTGCTTAATTTGTGCTTTGCTTTCACTAACAGCTGTTATGCAAACCTCACGTGGGCACGGACCACCTGGCCAAGGAAGAACGCAATACTTTGAGATGCCATGTCTCACCCCACCCTCACCTCCACCCCCCGAGCCTAGCACGGCCTCTGCTGTACTTCGTATCTAATCTTTCTCTTGTTACAGCAGTTTGCCATGAAATTTGATACCCACCTATGCCTGGGCTGATGAGACTACTATGGCATGGATCAAGTCCTCTAGTTGTGTGTTCGTGCCCTTGGATAGTGTGCTTCAGCTCCTGTTAGGGACTGGGAGATGGGATGGCTTCTGGCCCTGTGCCCCCTGTGAATACAATGATTTCATACATTATTAATTTCTCCCATATTAACCTCAGCTCAGAGGCCAGTCTTACAGTCTCCAACTGTGAAGCAGAAACTGAAATTCATATCAGGTGTTGGTTATAGATTGAAAGATAAAATAAAAAAAATGAAGCCTTAGTGCCAAATGTAGGTTAGGGGGCAGTGTGGACGGGCTGTTATTCATCACTGTTTCCTCATTATGTGTTACGTTAATTCTTAAGATAACTAACAGAGGTGCTAAATATTGACAGTCTACCTGTGGGGTTGGCCAATTTCCATGCAAATGAACACACTTCCTAACTAATATATGACCAGCGAATTATAACCACGTCTTTGGCTCCTGTGCTTTTTTTATTTTTATGAAAGTCCATTTAGGCAATGTAGTAGAAAAAAGTTTTTTCTCTTTCTGTTTCAGTTAAACCTGTGAGTCATTGTGTGCATTTACATGCACTTAATAATCCAATCATACTCAGATTTCAAGAGTTATCTGTTTATTAAAATGGATTATTCATGTAAACAACATACTCCGATTTCTTACATTGGATTAAGGCCTAGAAATCTGATCAAGAAGTCTGATAAACAGAGCCGGATTTTAGCTCAGTAATCGGGATTTTCAGTGCATGTACACCCTTGCTCTTTCATTTCTCTCAGCTTGCGCATGTGCGGAAACAGGCTGCTGTAACAGAAACAGCAAGCAGTTTTTAACACAGCACCTGTGAGATAGCAACAATACACTTTGTTGCGATGCTAAATCCATCTACACGCTTGACAAAATTAAGTATATTCATGTACATTCATATGTTCTGCTAAAGTGATGATGTTTTAAAAAAAGGCTGCAACATAATGTTTGAGGTTACATTATGTTTACGTCACGTCTTATTCTGTGAGTTTATTGGTGGGTTACAAAGCAAAAATATGATTATTACCTGACTCATACTGACAAAATCTGATTTTCTGTAGTTGTTGGATTATGATGTGCATGTAAATTCACTCAGTACGTAGAGAAAAATTACTTATTTTCTCTAAATTTTGACTTAGACCAAATGTAGGACTAAATGGAAAAAAAAATGAAAGTATATAATGAGTAAGCAATTATTTTGAGAACATACGATATTATTTTGACGTAATTCATCAGAATTTCAATAAAATAAGAAATTAATTTATTTTTAACATTTATTTTTGGCTGTTGCAATGAGCTAAACTTGAGTTCTGGTCAAGTATGTTTGGAAACCCCGTGATATTGTTAAAAACATCCCTGTTTAAAGCTACACTATGTGAGATTTGGAGACCTCTCTGGTGGAAATGTGTAATGCAACATGTGGAGGAACATTTTGCGTTTTGTGTTAACTGTTAAGCATGAAGGTGGATCTATTGTGCTTTGGGTTTGTGCCACAGCCAGTGGTACCGGGAATACTGCATAGGTAGATAAAAGGATGGCCACTAAATATCAGAAAATTCTGAAAGCAAATTTAACACAGAAGAGAAACTGAAAAGAGGCTGGCTTCTACAGGACAGGACAATGAGCCAAAACATACCTCAAAATCTTGAACATCATTAAAAATTTGTGGGTAGATCTTAAACATGGTTGTGTATGCAAGACAGCACAATTTTTTCTGGTTTATTTTCAAATAGTTTGCTGCAGAGGTTGTGTTTACTTCTTTTCTTTTCAACACAATATCTAATTTGGTCAGCGATGCCCAAACCTTTGCATACAACTGTATATTCTGTTAATGTGGAGGTTAAAGAAAGGTGGCAGAGTATAAATTACTGCTTTTGGCAGTAATGTTCTCAGCAGTGCCTAAGAATGATGCATAGAGCTCCTATTTTGAGTCTTGCCCATTTGTGTAACTAATGTCCTGTAACAATTCCTGTACTCCACCTGTCATTTGTTATGGAGGTCAGTGCTGACTGGAGGACTTCTGAGCGCCATCTGATACAGGGATGAACGAGAGGCTGGTCATGTGTTTGGGTAACCAGAGATGATGGGGTAGGGTTTAAAGAGGGGGTCTCTTGAGGTCCTTAAAAGGCCACTTTTCAATAACAGCTTGGTATTTGAGAAATACACTGTTGAACCTATGAACCAGAAGTGAGACATAAAGCCTCATCATGTCTCTGAGCTTAGGTTACAACAAATCTAGAGTCCTCTTTGTGGAATATGCCTAAGAAATAGTCCATAATAGCATAATCTCTCCTTATATACTAGAAAGATAATACTTTAACTGATTATTCTAACAAACTATTATGGACAGTAATCAGAACTCAGCATATCATACCATAACTTAAGCGTTGAAATTAGTTATGATTCACTAGGTTGCCAAACTAGATTAAATGCTTATTTTTTTAAAAAAAAAAGTTCATTAGGTTAGACTTTTGTTTTAAAAGTGTCCATGAAAGAGATAAAATTAATAATAATTTAGTGAAAAGGGGGTCACTTTGGTTTCACAAGGGTTAACTTATAAAATACATTTTATGTATCAACTGATGTATCAACTGAAATGTCATCAAACATTTCTGACCACTGAAGAACAGGGTAAAAGGGGGCTAACAAAGTATGCAGAGAAACAGACGGACTACAGTCTGTAATTGTAGAACTACAAAGTATAGTAAGTGGAGCTGATAAAATGGACAATGAGTGTAGAAACAAGGAGGTGGTCTGGTCATAATGTTATGCCTGATTGGTGTAAGTATGTATGTGTGTGTGTGTGTGTGTGTATATATATATATATATATATATATATATATATATATATATATATATATATGCGCACACACACATACATACTTATACTAGTATATATATATATATATATATATATATATATACACTGCTTCTTGACAACTACACATCCATTCAGACCTGTTCAGACCCATAGTTTTAAGATTTAAGCACTGTATATATGATAGTCTACCAGCTTTTTAGGGGTCCCATTTTCTCTATATCTTTCCCAATACCTCATTTTTGAACTCTTTTGAACTTTTTTTTCACTCATTTTCCTTTGACTTTCCCCTTTCTTTTGCAAGTGTATTATCTTACATCTAATCTCCTCAGAAATATCTCTTTTAGCCAATTTAGATGAACATGAGAAAGAAATGTGCGAGGTAGCTAAGGTGTGTTGAGCAGTTGCTTGTGTGAATGTGTGTCTCTTTGAAGGGGAACATAATGTCAGAAATTCTTTTGGGAGCAGCTTTTGTTGGGAGGACACAGCTGAAAGTCAGTGCTTTTAAGATGGGAAGAAAAGGAGATTTAAAGTGAGTTTGTAAAAGTAAAGAGTTGACATTAAAAACTGATAGATTTGATATTATACTAGTTTTCTGTTAAATATGTGTTTCCTGCTTTTTTTCTCACACTGAAAAGTGAATAACTATAACTAAACAAATGAAAGAGCAGTCTCTGACTTTTACACAGTACTGTGATTACTAGATCAATTTATTATAGAAAATTAAGATGAAATGAATTAACACTGTCTGTTTTGTCTTCTGTGTGTCTAGGTGTCTGGTGCACTGATCCAGCCCCAGTAAGACAGAGTAGGGGCATGGCGGTCTGTCCAGTCCTGAGCTTGCTGGGCCTTCTTCTGCTACTGATCACAGCACCCACATCCCAAGGCCAAGGCTGTCCACAGCGCTGTGACTGTGTGCCCCAGAGTAAGGCTGTGAATTGCCAGAACAAACGTCTCAGTTCTGTTCCAAATGGAATTCCAATTGACACACGGCTGCTAGACCTCAGTGGCAACAGTTTGCGTTGGGTGGAACATGGCGATCTGGCAGCCTTTGTACATTTGGAAGAATTAGATCTTAGTGAGAATCTCATCAGTGTGCTAGAGCCTAATGCGTTTTCCAGCTTATTGAATCTACGTGTGTTACGCCTGCGCGCCAACCAGTTGAAGCTGGTGCCAATGGGTGCCTTCTCGCATCTTGCCAATCTCACTACTTTGGACTTGAGTGGGAATAAACTGGTTATCTTGTTAGACTTCACTTTCCAGGATCTGCGTAGCCTAAGAAACTTGGAGGTGGGAGATAACGACTTGGTGTACATCTCAAACAAGGCATTCCTGGGCTTGGTTGGACTACGTGAGCTCACAATCGAGAGGTGCAACTTGACATCTATCTCAGGCCAGTCTCTTTCCTACCTCCGTGGTTTGGTCACGCTGCGACTACGCTACCTCAGCATTGCCTCATTAGAGGAGCAGAACTTCCGTAAGCTGGGTGGATTGCGGGGTCTAGAGATTGACCACTGGCCATTCCTACAGTACATTTCCCCACACAGTTTTCAGGGACTCAATTTGTCCTGGCTGTCAATAACCAACACCAACATTACCACGGTTCCTACTGGTGCCCTTCGGAGCCTGATCCATTTAGCCAGCCTGAACCTTTCTTACAACCCCATCTCTGTGCTGGAATCTTGGGCCTTGCGGGACCTGGTCCGTTTAAAGGAGCTGCACCTTGTTGGCACCAACATGGTATCAGTGCAAACTTACGGTTTTGGAGGCCTGCAGCAGCTCCGTCTGCTCAATCTGTCCAACAACAGGTTGGTGACGCTAGAGGAGGGCTCTTTCCACTCAGTAAACACGTTGGAAACACTACGCGTTGATGGTAACCCACTTTCTTGTGACTGCCGCCTGCTTTGGATCCTGCAGCGACGGAAGACCCTCAACTTTGATGGCAAGTCACCAGTTTGTGCTGCGCCTGTTGAGGTGCAGGACAAGGCTCTCAACTCCTTCTCCGACTCTGCGCTTTTCGACCACTTCACCTGCCAACGGCCAAAGATCCGCAACAGAAAACTGCAACAGCTGACCGCACGCGAGGGTCAGGTGGTGTCCTTTTTCTGTCGTGCAGAAGGAGAGCCGACTCCGGTCATATTTTGGATTTCACCTCAACGCCGTCGCATCACCACTAAGAGCACCGGCCGTATCATTGTGCTACCAGAAGGCACGCTAGAAATCCGCTATGCCCAGATAACAGACAGTGGGACCTACATCTGCATTGCCAGCAATGCTGGTGGCAATGACACTTATTTTGCAACACTAACGGTTAGTGGGCTGCCACTAGATGCAGCTGTTGCAGCAAATCGCACCTACTATGTGGGTGACCTCAATGACACTAATCTGAATGACACACGTGTCTTCCTGAAGTTCACATTAGACCTTAAGACCATTCTGGTCTCCACAGCCATGGGCTGTATCACATTTTTGGGTGTAGTTCTTTTCTGCTTCTTGCTTTTATTCGTGTGGAGTCGTGGACGTGGGCAACACAAAAACAACTTCTCAGTAGAGTACTCCTTCCGAAAGGTGGATGGCCCCACAACCAGCGGGGGCCAAGGAGGGGCTAGAAAATTTAATATGAAAATGATATAAGGGGCATAAATAGAGGACCTGTGTACCTTAAATGTGATGACAGGGTAAATAAGTACTGCACAAAAGAACCTGGTGTATGTATGTCCCCTTTCTTTTACTGGACAGATTTTTACATGTCATCGCGTGTCACAATATCATATTTTTTCAAGAAATAGAGAAATAAGCCATGATTAAACCATCAGTACTGCAATGGTTTACTGATACTTTGCTTCAGCAACTTGCACACTGGAATTACTCTTTGTATTACAGTGTGACACAAAAACATTATTAAGTTTAATTAATAATTGTATAACAACATAGGGTGTTATTATGTAATAATTAAAAGTATTATTACACATACAAAGAGAGCAAATTGTCTGTTCTGTAGTCTGTAGATCATTCGCGCTCACAGGCACCAACTGCGGAGGGCCATTGTGCCCCCCAAAACTGAAGTTGGACAGGAAATGCCCCCCCCAGTCCTGGCACAAAGCTTGAGCCATGGGTGTAAAACCGCAAAGAACAGTGTGAAAAGCGATTGTGAAATTGCATTTAACATTTGGAAAAAAACAGTATTGATTTTAAGCATAAAGGGCTGCTACAGCAACCAGAAAAACTGCTGTTTTCCACACACAGTAGTTCTTTCCTTTGTTCAGCCATAGCTGGACATGTTTTGTCTTTTGGAATGTGAAAGCACCAGTACAGGATGAGGTGACTTAATTTTGTGTTTTTTTTTTCATTTTACATTGCAAATTAATTATCAAAGCATATGTGTCAAAGAAACATGCCTAATTTAATCTGGCCTTCCCCTAATGCCTAATTTAATCTGGCCTTTCCCCTTTACGATCTGCTCATATTACAGTAGTGCAAAGCAGTCACATTATTCATTTTGTTATCTCTTAGTTTTTCTGGTAATTTATAAGCACTCTATTAGTAAATTACAGAAAGTAATCAAAGTTGACTGAAGTTTACTTTGAATCACTCATGCTGGTGGAGTTTTGATTCCTGCTGCGATAAGGAATTTTGTAGGGTGGTGTTGATGAGATTATATGACATAAGCCCTCCACGGCAACTGACATTATAAACACTTATTCCAATAGTCATCATTTGTCATGAAGGCTGTATTTGCCAACTTTTATGTCAAGATGACATAACATTTATATCGGGTTACCTTTTTTTCAGGCATTGGGTTGTGTTGTGTCACTTTCCGAGGTGAAATGACGTGGATCAATAAATGTCTCCATGACATAATGCTGAAAAAATGACAGTTTGCCACACCAGGTTAGTTTAATGAAACCAAGCATTTTCCTGTGGCATTTTTTTTGGAAAAGCTCATTTTCATTTTACCATTTATTACATTTAAGCTATTTCACATCATCAGTATTGAATCACTCTGATATACATTATGCCACAGTCAGTTGTTTTAAAGTGCTAAGTAATTTTACCCAAAAAGTGTAATGACACAACTAAATGTAATAAAAAATGTATATTACATGACATAGGTGCTATATCAAATTTGACATCAAATTTGGTAAATGCAACCACTATGACAAATGGTGCCTATTGGAATAAGCCTTTATAAATGTTTATATAGATCTATATAATTTGTCTTGACGGGCTTAAGCATATCATGCATCCTTATAAATATTGCCCTCAGGGCTGCCTCTAGCCTTTTGGGGGCCATACAGGATTTTTTGGGGGGCCCCATCCTGCTAGCTGATGTACTGTCAAATTAGAACCTAAATATAACAGTGACCACCACAAGCTGTTCACATGACATACATTTATACATTATGATTAATAATGTTGCTAATTGATAGGATGCTTCTTTAGGGTTGGATTTAATATTGGCAACAGTGGCTACATCATTGCCTTTTTACCACTATAAATGTTTTACTTTCTGCATATTTAGGAAGTATGACTTCATTTTCCTGCATTCACAACTCCTCCTCATGTTAAATGTGACGCTTTCATGTGCACATGCACAAGGATTAATCACAGCCTGAGTATCTAAACCTGGATTAACAAAGATTGTTAACTGCTACTATAAACCGAGTTAACCACAGCTGTGTTTGTAAGGTTTTGTGAAGCTGAAACTCACGAAAAGTCAGAAACCTTGCTTTGTTAAACAGACCTCTGATCAACTACTTCTTGTGTCCACCTACAAGACAAAATAATGGGCATAATGTGAACAGCAAAAATACCCTAAACATACCTTTTTCTTTAAGATGTTTCTACCAGGTGCATATGTTCTTTTTTGAGACATGATTAACCAGGTGCATTTTTTCCCTCACTTGAGCATCTATGCTTGTACATAATGGCACAATAAAAGCCCAGAAGTTGTTAGGAGGCCCCTGGCAGCAACCTGGGCCATAAGAAGGTGCTTATGTCGCTTATTAGGTAGACCCAGCACTGACTGCCTTATAGTAGAGTTACTGTTTTTTCTGGTCGCTGTAGCCTTCACTAAGTGCTGTTGAAAATTAAAGTCATCTTGGTAGCCATTATGGAGAATAATAAGAGAACGAAACTGCAGCCGAACTAAAATTATGCTATTTATTAAAGTAAAGGTGCATAGCAAACAGATCGGAGAAATCAGGCTACCTGCCAAAGCTGTACTCGAACTGACATGCGGCAAGTTTAATGTGTGGCCTCTTATCCAATGGGGGGCCGAGAGGCACCGCAACTATATGGATCGTTCCACCGAACTGGTTCAAAGAGTTTAAAACCCATTTCAGACTTTTAACTGACTCCTTTTGTTTTGAATAACATTATACCTTAATTATGTTTATTTCATTAATACAAATGGTAGAATATTGTACTTTATCACAAACAAAAAAATCACAACAGCACCGAAACCTTACCAAATGTTTCTGTAGTGACTGTTTCCCCAGTGACAATTATAGCACAACTCAAAAACGCTAGCCAGTTCATGACTAACATACACAGCTTTGAACAGTTGTACACACATAATCATAATATTTTTCATTAAAACACAAAAAAGTCTACAGACTAAAAATGAAGACTAAATCCAAATTTTTTAAAAGAAACCAAAAAGATCTTTAAAAAATCTAATATTTTAAGTTAAAATTCAGCCACCTTCCAGTAAAAAATACACTATAAATGATGATTTTGTATATATTTAGTTTAAAATATATTTCAATTAATGCATTGGGTTCAAATAGATCATAATATAACCCTTATAAATAAGTCTGGATACTTAATTGTTTTTTTTTACTGCAGTTTGACCTAATTGGACAGAATGGTCCATATAACTCAGTGTAATTATATGAAGTGCACGGTAACGTAAACAAAATAAATTTGTAATAATTTTAATATTTGCCCACGATTCCTTCTCATATGTCCACATCACTTCTACAGTGAAATGCCTTTTGTTGGCCTAGTTCAAAAATATATTTTTTCCCTACCCCTTGTTGTTTAAACCAAGTTGGAGCCCATGTTTGTGCATATTCCGATAATGCTCTGGATGCTTTTTGAAAGGATGTTTTCTGATTGCCAAGGAAATGCCAAAACTTTATACAGTGATACTCAGAGATTTGGATAATATAAAAAGATGTGGATTTTGTATTTCGTCCTGATTGCAAAGCTCCTTTGCAGACTTTTAAGTAAATAGCAACAGTATGTTCAGTTTGCAACTGCCAACCCTCGATAAAATGGTGACACAGACAGCTGTTGGGGGGAAAATAAAACATCACACATCATTCTCACCCAATGGCAGAAGAAACTATTTTTGCCTTTTAATGTGGACCTACGACCGCCTTCTCATCTCACTTCGTTCTAATTGTGGTCAATTTGGCATCCTGAACACAAGCAGTGAGACCGACGATCCGCACAAAGCACACACGAACCTTTTTTCATATTTCAGAGAAAGCCTTTGTTAGATATGTGTCATTAACAGCAGTGTGGTATTTTTATTGTGTAAAGATGTTTGGATATTTGTATCTTTACTGTATATATGGCTGTTTTGTGTGTAGTACTTTCTGTGCCCAGTTTTGTTGTCATGTTTTGATAACTTTTAAATGCCTGCTTTTAGTACAAAACATTTATTCTACATGAAGCGTTCTAAACAGATAATGCCGGATGTAACCAACATTTACAAACACTTTTTTTTTTGCTTGCGACATTCAGTAATACACACCATATTGTGTTTATGACTGGTTTGTTCATTATGTCACATGGCAGACAGAATGGTCTCAAAATGTAGCACATATGTCCACCTCTGCTCTCTGAGATTATTAAACTAAGCTACTCTGCTGCCCTCAGCTGGCACAAAGTATTTACTAGCACAACATAAACTTAAATGAGCCCTTCTAATATTTTTTTCATCCAAATTTAGTAGAATGTCTGTCCACATATAACCTTTGACTCCCATTGTATTTCACAGTGAGTGAGAGTGAGTGCATTCTGTTGCTGTTGGTCATTAAATGTTCGATTTCAGATATATTTATAGCCCCCAGTCCATACGGTCCATAGGGCTATTTAGCTGGTCCTTGTATTGAAACCATTTTCAGTGGATCATGAGCTCATTTTATAGGTATAAATATGAGGCACTTTATTTGTACATCAGAGCACAAGTTCTGCAATTCCTGACATGTTATTGTCGTAACTAGATCTCTAGACAAGGCTTTGTAAAGAGCCCCTAGAAACCATTTAGGGAGCCAAATGTTTTTTCCTGTACAGATGGTGGCCTTCAAAACCGCACATTCTATTCGGACCTTCAAAACAACTATGAATATATTTACAGACAGTACACGATATTTGAAAACTGCCATAACTAGATAAAAAATACAAAACATGTTTTCTATATATTTTTAAAGAGTAATCACTTTCATGTCATAGATTGAATGAAAGGGAATGAACACTGTAGATGGTTTTATTCTTTCACTGTCAGAAGTGTTATTCTTATCTTGTACAAATAATGACTGTTTATAAAAGCATGTATCCTAAAATGTCTCTGCTGTCTTTTGTTTATTATCTATAGAAATGTGAAGAATTTTCAATCCCAGTGATCAATGAGGGATTAACCAAGCCAAGGTTTACTAATTTTATCTGTTGCATGTCTGAATGTTGCAACTTGTGATTTTCAACTGTGAAAAAATAGTTTGGAGCAATGTATCTTACAGTGTCCAAGCTGTCTGTGGTATAAGTGGAATTAGGTTTTCATCAAGTTCATGACCCTTACTAGTCTTAACCTTATCTTGCCCAATTGATTCTTCACTGAATTTGTCTAAAAAGATTTCCCATCAAAATGCCCAATCAAATGATGCATTTTAGACAACAGCTGTTGTGCTGAATCCTGACTCCCCCCGACTCTCCTTAACG